CAAGGCGAGGAGTGGAAAACCGCTTTCATCACCCCGACAGGCCACTGGGAGTACCTGGTCATGCCCTTTGGCTTGTGTAACAGTCCTGCGGTTTTCCAACGGCTAATCACTGACGTCCTGAGGGACATGCTGGGCCGGTGGGTGTTTGTTTACCTTGACGACATCCTGATCTACTCCCGAACCCTGGACGAACACATCACACACGTGCGAGCCGTTCTTTCCCGGCTGCTGGAGAATGGTCTCTACTGTAAACTGGAGAAATGTGCCTTCCATCAGGAGACCATCTCCTTCCTGGGTTTCGTCGTGTCGTCAAGAGGATTTTCAATGGACCCCCAGAAGGTCCAGGCTGTCGCCCAGTGGCCGCAACCCACTTCCCTAAAACAGCTCCAGAGCTTCCTTGGATTCGCGAACTTCTACCGCCGCTTTATTCGCGGTTTCAGTTCCATCGCCGCGCCCCTCACTGCCTTAACCAAGTCATCCAACCAGACTCACCCTTTCCGTTTCACTCCTGAGGCCACACAGGCATTCCGCACCCTGGTGCACCGATTCACGACCGCTCCCCTCCTCGTTCATCCGGACACAACAAAGCCATTTATCGTGGAAGTGGATGCGTCCGAGGTGGGTGCAGGGGCGGTCCTATCTCAACGCGGTCCAGACTCCAAACTCCACCCCTGTGCCTATTTCTCCAGGAAATTCACACCAACCCCGAGGAATTACGGGGTGGGGGACAGGGAGCTCCTGGCTATTAAATGGGCGCTGGAGGAGTGGAGGCAGTGGCTATTGGGTGCCCAGGACCCGTTTACCATATGGACAGACCACCAAAACCTAATTCATATCCAGAATGCTCGCCAACTCAACCCCCGTCAAGCCCGGTGGGCTCTGTTTTTCGAATCCTACCACTTTCATCTGGCCTATCGCCCTGGTTCTAAGAATCTGAAGGCGGACGCCCTTTCCCGCCATCACGCCCAATCTGCACCCGTCAAGGAACCACCGCCTATTTTACCTGCCCAGAGGTTCGTTGCAGCCCTTCACTGGCCAGTGGAGGACGCCATCCGAGCTGCTCTTCCCACCGAGCCCGCACCTGCTGACACACCCTCCAACCGACTGTATGTGCCATCCACCTGCCGGTCTGAGGCCCTAGCATGGGGACTTGCTTCCCGTTTGGCTGGCCACCAGGGGGAGACTCACACCCTCCAGTTCCTACGTCGGGCCCTGTGGTGGCCCTCCATGGCTAAGGATGTCCATGAATACATGGCTGCATGTTCCATCTGCGCCCGTTCCAAGACTCTGAACAAACCCCCGGCTGGCGACCTCCACCCTCTTCCTGTTCCCCACAGACCCTGGTCCCACATAGGCCTGGACTTCGTCACGGGGTTGCCTCCCGTCAACCAGCTCGACACCATCCTGACCATCGTGGACAGGTTTTCCAAGGCGGTCCACCTGGTGGCTCTTTCCGGCCTGCCCACCGCTAAGCAGACGGCCGAAGTCCTTGTGGAGCAGGTGGTCCGTCTCCATGGGTTCCCTCAGGACATTGTCTCGGATAGAGGGCCCCAATTCATGTCCAGGTTCTGGAAAGCCTTCTGCTGGCTGGTTGGTGCCAGTAGCAGCCTCTCGTCTGGCTACCATCCCCAGACCAATGGACAGACTGAACGCGCCAACCAGCAGCTCAGGCGGTACCTGCGCTGCTTCGCCTCTTCCCAACCAACCACATGGCCAAAGCATCTCTTGTGGGCGGAGATGTCCCATAACCTCCACGTCTCCTCGGCTACTGGTCTTTCCCCGTTCGAGCTGTGTAATGGTTACCAGCGCCCTCTGTTCCCTCACCAGGAACCGGAGACGGAGGTTCCTGCGGCCCAGCTCCTAGTTCGACGTTGCCGTCTCGCTTGGATTCGTGCTCGGGCTGCCATCACACGAGCTAACACGGAGTACTCACGCCAGCATAAGCGCCGCCACCGGCCTGGTCCGACCTTTCAGCCGGGCGATAACGTGTGGGTGTCTACTCGTAACATGCGTTTGCCCGCCGGCTCCAAGAAACTCAGCCCACGGTTTCTGGGTCCTTACCCCGTGGAAAGGGTCATTAACCCCGTGGCTTACCGCATCCGCCTGCCCAGGTCTCTCAAGGTTCACCCCGTCTTCCACGTTTCCCAGCTGAGACCAGTCAGGACCTCTCCTCTCGCTCCCCCCCCCCCCCCCCCCCTGTTCCCGCTCCACCGCCTCGTGGGGTGTGCGGTGATGGTGTTTATGCTGTGCGCCGCCTGCTGGATGCCCGTCACCGTGGCAGGGGATGGCAATACCTGGTGGACTGGGCGGATTACGGACCGGAGGAGCGCTCGTGGGAACCGTCGAGGGTCATCTTGGACCCCTCTCTCATAACGGAATTCTGGGCTCGCCGCTCTGGGACTTCTGGGGCCGTCCCTCGGGCGGGGGGTCCTGTCACACAACCTCCCTCTCAGCCTGTCACACAACCTCCCTCTCAGCCGTCAACCTCCTCTAGGGAGGCACCGCAGAGCCGCTCAGACTCCATTACCCAACATCCCTAGCGCCAGGCTCCCGTTTCACGTCACCCGCCAAATCTATATAAGGAAGTGCCGCACAACGCCGGCTCACTCAGTCATCGTTCTCACCGAACTTAACCTAGAGTCCAAACCAGATCAGCTCAGATCACGAAGCCTGTTCAGATCAGACCAACCAGATCAGACCAGCCAGATCTCAGAATCCTGCCTGTTCGTACAGATCAGCTTCAGACCAGGAGTCGCCGTGTTCAGCTGTGTCACCATACAGCTGCGCACCCGGCTCCCAGATTAAACAGCGTGTCCATTCAACCCGGCGTCAGTCACTCCGCGCTTGGGTTAAAAGCCACGCCACATCCAAACTCTCGCCCAGCTCGAGTCACCCCGTTACAATCAGGGCAAATACCTCTAACCAATAAAAACATCAGAAAAACAATAGCAGTGATAAAATAGTAAATAAAATCAGGAAAACAAAGTGAAGGTGTGAACCCGAACAAAGCCATCTTTTAGAACATAGTCCGTGACTAACGTTCTTTCTGTTGAAGCCGATGGGAGTGTCCGAACTCTGTATGCCAAAGGGTCTGGTTTTAGCATCCAGGAATCATTAGCAGATGTCTTGGCTAGTTTAAGCCAACCCTTAGCATAATCAGCTTCACCACATGGCAGAAGCTCCTCCAGGCTTGCATTATTTGTGAAACTAAAGCATCAATGTTGCACATCAGTGATAGTGTTGTATTGCTGTTATACAATCCGGTGTGAGATGTCCAGATTTTTGGAAATAAGACTCCAAAAATTGCCATCTGAAGCTGTGATGTGGGCAACTTTTAGGTCTGACAAATGGTGCACCAGTATATTTTATCCCCCATGAGAACAACTTACGAAGCATTCATTCCTACTAGAGACCACTAGCCTGGCAAGCCAGACTAAATAAATGTATTACAAACTTTGCAAAGCAAGAATTTGGTCTAGTTCACCAGGCTAAGAGACCATTGCAAATGCATTGAATAAACAAGTAAACCACTCCTTTAAAATGCCTTTCTCAAGGTCATTCTGAAGAGTAAAAACTTACCATAAACTTCACAAATAAACTTGAAAGTTCCAACTGTATGTGCTGCTCAGTTACAGTCAGCTACTTGGTACAAGATAGTTACTGTTCTGTCCTAAATGACAGGTGACAGCCCTGGAACTGTTAAAATGAGTCCAGCTCCACCCCATCACACCTGTTAATGTCAGAACCTGAGGTCATGAATAGCTAGTACACTTCAACCTGACATTTAACAACTCTAACAACTGGTTTAGGGTTTTTTGGAACACCCCCCACCCCACCCCACTCACACACACACACACACACACACACAAACACAAACACACACACACACGCACGCACGCACGCACGCACGCACGCACACACACACACACACTTGTTGTCTCTCTTTGTCTTCACAGTGTTCTCACCTTATCTAAAGCTGCTCTTCTCCAATTTAAACTAATTGCTAACCTCCTTAATACCAGCCACATCCTCTCCTGTGATCCTGACTGGCTTGTTTCCTCAATCATTAGGACTTCAGCTTCTTATCTTGGTGCTGTTGTCCCTAGGCTGCTAACTACTATAATACCATCTCACTGCTATCTTCACACCTGACTCAGGCTTTTTGGCTCTCCCTCTCAAGCCTATGGCCCATTAAAGTAGGGAAGCTAAAAAGGTCTTGATGAGAATTGTATACATGTCTTTCCTTGGAGTAATCCACATCCCATACACAAGCCCACCTCGCTGCTCTGCAATCATGTCTGGCTTCAGGGGAAGTCTCTAAAGTTAACTGAATAAAGCTGAGCCTGTCAATAAATCTGCACCTAGTTTTTTCTGTCTTTATGTTTTTTTGACAGTGGAGGGTGATTGCTAATGTTAGTCAGTCTACGCTGTTATCTGCCTCAGAAATGGCAATGTTGGCAGGATGACAGACTTCTGCTTCACAAGTACACACATATGCACACATGTATGTACACAATGAGCACATAGTTTCACTTAACCATTCTGAAAGATGTCTATTTAAGTGTAATTTTAATCAGTGGCATCTAAAATAAGTTTGTTTTGTTCAATCCAGGATGCATTTGGCCTCAGGCACAGCAGGATAGTAGCTAACTGTACTTATGGGGATTATTCAGACTGAATCAGAATTTGAAATATGTATGATCCTTGACAGTCTTACAATAATTTCATCAGGCACTTCGTCTCGCACAATTTATGACCTGTCAAATGTTGTTAGCAGCTTAGTTTTTATCATCTTTGATGGCTTTCAACATACTTCCAGCCGTCCAAAAATTCCTCTGTCTAATCATTTGAGAGACCCAGAGAACACATACATGGACCAAATAAGCAGTGTTAGGAGAATTAATGGCCCTCTGTCTCCCTGTGTTTGTTTACTTGTTTTAGTTACGCGTTTTTAAATATCGTTTGGCTTGTTTCATGTTTATCTCCTTTTTCTTCTGCAGACCCAGAGCAGAATGAAGCTGATAGCAGACAATTATGAGGAAGATTACATTCATCCTCAGCATCATCCTCATCATTTGCACCACATGCATCAAACCAATGTGTATCATCGTAGTCTACCGAGAGTGGTCCCTCATTCCAATCACCGACCCCCAATGGACCAGGTCAGAAGAAATGTGCACACACACACACACACACGCGCGCACACACACACACACACGCGCGCACACACACACACACACGCGCGCACACACACACACACACACACACACACACACACACACACACACACACACACACACACACAACCCTCTTTGAGACATCAGTTGCACTTTGAGCTTGTTTACATGCATTCACATGTTGTGAGCTTTTATCTACATGCCTTTAAAGCTGACGCAACTTAATATTTGTCAAGTGCACTGGGACTCAGTTATGGTTTGATTTGACAGCAGAAAATTTATCAGCTTGCTTCTCCATCTCTTCCCCCTCAAACCTCAATATTTCCTGCCAAGTTTAAGTTTTTCATATCAGCCAGATAAGAAGCCTGAAGGAGAAACCCATCAGATGATTGTTTTTGATTGATGGGAAATGTATGTGAGATTAGTTTATGTGTGATCCAGCCCTTATACAAGGTTTTTCAGTGCGGGCTTAATACCCACTCCGCCCTGAGGACACACTTAATGTGTCTGAAGACAGCTAAGAAACACAACTAACTGATATTTTAAATATACTATCTGAATTGTGTGAGCCCAAGTTCATATAGGTGTGATATAAATGTACATGAAGACACACACTTGAGTACTTGTTTGTATCATGTTCTCTGATTAAACAGCTTAAGGGTAAAAGCAATGTGCAGTGAAAGGAAAAGAAAATGTTGCCATTAGCTTATGAAAGATTCTTGCTATTTAATTGTAATTCAGACTCATCACTGCTCTATTGTTGTGACTAGGGAGATTCCAAACTATGAAAATGTTTCCAAGTGAGCGTGTGGCTTTAAGATGAATGCTTGGGACTTTCCACCTGGGTCCATATCCCTACATTGGTTCTATCCAAAATGAACTATTGCATGTTTGTAGGCTTAATAAATATTTTTGAGACTGCTGTCTAATTTGGATTCAGACACAAACTGGAGATCCCCCTTGTGTAAAACACATGCACATGCTTACACATTCTTGGAAACATGCAGGAGGATAAGGTGGTTGATTGGAATAATTGTAGCCCTTCATGCCTGTAAGAATGTAAGAGTCTGTGATTGATTGAAAGATTTGTTTTTCTTTAAAGTAACTCAGAGCAGTTTCCTACTCATCTGCCCTACTGGTGGAAATTGGAATTACAACTACCTTAAACAATCCTACAGCAGCCTACTCTACCAACGAGCTAACACTAACATGAGACAAGTGAGACACAAACCAAAAAATTCCACACTGTTGGAAAAACAATGTTATTACAAGTCCAGTAGCAACAAAGCCAGGTCATCATCAGCCTGTGATTTCATAGCCTTTTTCAGCTTCTTCAAACTAGCGTAGGCTGTGCCGATGTTCACTCTGGTTTTAGCTCTTTGCTTCACCTACAAAGACATTACTGTCTTACTTCCAGGCTCTGCAATGATGCCAACAGAAAAGCAAACTTCTTCTTTTTCTTCTTGTTCTTTTCAATGACACTCAGCAAACTAAAAAAGCTAACTGCATTACTTGCGTTTTTTTAACACTGCTAAAGAGTTATTTTTACCTTGTTTTTGCTGACGTTAGGACTAGCACTCCTCAGAGCTTCGCCACTGTTGGTGTCGTCACCAACTCTTTTGCTGTGTTAAAAAAAGAACCAAGTAAAGCAGTTAGACGAAATACACCAGATGAGTGTACAAAAGATGAAAATGCTATCTTCACAGACAATAGCTCACAGCCATAATGCAGGTATATGAGCGCCCCCTAGAAAACCTGCCCGCTCCACAAAATTGTTAAGTGCAGTACCTGACCAGCAGAGGGCTGCAGAGTGGTGTCAGATGTGAAACTGGTCAGGTTTCTAACCCAACAATCACTGAGATCAATGTTAAAGCGTTAGCTTAAAGCTTACTTTAGTGTTACTTTAAATAATTTCAAGTAGATTTCAGTCACGCTGTCTAATACAGTACAGCATCTGCATTCCTTCATGGATGACCTGTGTGTCTACATGCCATTCTGAAACTTTTTACGAATAAGTGTTGTAGCTGATAAACATGAAATTTAAAAAAGAACAACACAAAGACAACCGTTGGAGGGAAGGGACTACATTATCCCAGTTTCTATTAACCCCTTCAACATCTATTCTGTGGTTTTTACAGAGTATTTTCCCTCTTGTAACTTTTTCCCTCCTCATTCTTTTTTACCCTTCTTTCATCCAGCTTTTCCTCTTGTATTTAATATACAACTAGGACTACGCCAGTGGTTCACTGCCTCGCTGGTCCAGAAACGCCACTTGAAGTATGATTGATGATGATAATGATAATGATGATGAAGAGGGTCTTGATACTCACCCTGGAAACCACAACGCCTTTCCAAGATGCAGCTAGTGCCATGAATAACATAACAGTGACCACACATGCACACTTTAGTTCATTTACATTGAAGGCAGCACAGACATGCACACATAGGTTGCATATTTAAGACATTTAACTGGACATATATGCTCTGGTGGATTGGGTCCACAAACTCAAGAACAAAATTTTTCTACAAAGCCAAACCGCATGTTATCCAAAACTCATGGACACAGTTTGAGCACATCACAATCTCTACTTAATTTTTACTAGACTCCACCAAAGGGCAGGTGAAACCTAATTGGAGGAGACGTGCACTGGAAGCATATTTACCCTCCTGAGAAGGATTCTGGGTTTCTGTACCAGCACGGAGCCTACGGTTTGACGGGCATGTTGTGCTCACGTTGTTTTCATTTAAGGCAGGCCAGCACCATCACCAGATACTTGGCAACGGCACTGGAAGGAAATGGAAAACAGCCATAACGGGTTTATCAGAGGCTGAATTATACACACTTTTGTTCATTGTTTTTAATTTATCCTTAACGTGCTATCTGCTTTATGTTTAATACGTGTTGTTTATGTGTATGCGTGTTTTCACGAGCTTTACCTCGCACCGTGAGTGCATGTAAATCTGCTTCTCTGTATTGGACTCCTCACAATCATTCACTGCAAGCTGCTATTATAACTGTAGCTTAGCTGCTCAGGTGTAGCTTTGTGGGTCTCAAACCCAAGTCCCTTCGTGCTCTTAGCTCACCTAGATTTATTGTAGCATCACGCAGAAAAGATTTAGCAATGAGCTGCCAGTTTTTGCTAAACATCATGTTGTCTAAGTGAATTAGCCTCTTTGTTAGCAGATATCTTGTCTGCATTTTATCAGCCTCAAGGAAACCTCGTGTGTTTAAATATTTGTTTTGAACAATTATCCCATAGAACACCATGTATGATGTCATACTTGTCTTATTTGAAATAAATTCTGAACAGACTTGTTTTGATTAAATGTCACAAAGGATGCGGAGATTTGCCAATGAGGCTCAATTTGTAAATACAAAACCACAAAGTTACATTTCTAGTATTAAATAAAAAGCATTTTTTTCAAAGAGGATTTTTTAAATGCAAGAACAGAAAGAAAATTCACACTGGTTAATATGTATAACTGTATTTATTTATTTTTGTTTTGTTTTTGCAGGATGATGAGGAGGGAATATGGGCATGATGACAGCTACCATGGGAACATTCATCTCTTTGTTCGCTGTAAGTTCATGTTACACACCTAACAGAATGCGAGGGAGCTGTAATAAGTATGATTTCTAGATAATTTAATCATGTCGGGCATAGTAGGCTTCTTTAGTGGATTTGAGCTCCCATTAGCAGGGATCACTGATGGTACCACCCTAACCACAGCCTTACCCAGCCCCAATAGAGGAAAGTTTACTAGAGCCCAACACTTTTTCCACTGCTTGTGAATTGCAGTCGGCTAAAAAGCGTTGGTTGATTTTGAGGTTTATGGGTGCTTTCTGTAAAGTGCTCATATGCTGCATGTGGTGTGTGCACTCTGTGGCTGTGGCTAACCGTGTGGCTGCTCCTATACACAGCCTGTTGCCTAAAGCAAGCACACCAGAGCCCATAGGTGATAAAAATGACACGATGAGAAAAACCAGAGATGGACAAGTCTGTCTTTCTGCACCCCCCTTTTTTTTTTTTTTTTTGGTCATAGTAAAATTTTACCACGCTACCCTTCCACTTCAAGTGCCAGTGTGTGGGGTAGTTAGTTGCAATAAGACAGAACACATATATATTTTTTAAGGCTACAAGCTGAAAATGCATAAAATGAAGAATGCTGAGTCATAAAGCATGATTCCTGTTTTGGGTGTTTTATACTGAAGCCCCCCCCCCCCCCCCCCCCCCATTGGCTCAGGATGCCTTTGAACATGGGCATTCAAAAGATGGTTCTGGCTGTGAGGGTTATGGTTTCCTTGAGGCTATTGTGTTCATGTATGTATGCGCACAGCAATGTGATATAAAGTAATTTACTAGGAGTTTAAAGACGGATATATAAATGTACATTTGACGTGTGAGAGAAGCAGAGGAGGAGAGTTGGGGATGGGGAATGGAAAAAGAAAGGGTGTTTTATGTGGGAATGGTATAAGCAGGCATTATGGTACACTCAAAGTTTCCAGTGCAACTTATTCTTCTCCCACAGAAATCCACAGGTAACCATCACAATCAAGATTCTGTCTCTAAACCACATCAACTATGTAGCATAGCACTTGACCCAACATTTTGCTTTGATTGTGAACTAGTGTGTGAGCAAATGGAATGTCTATTCGGTGCCCGGTTTGTGTCTAGTTAAGATGCTTGTTCGTGTATTTGCAAGTGTGTCTGTGTTTAAGAGAGTGTTGCTGAGCTATACTGCGTCCGAGTGGCCCACATAGCCTCTAATCCACTCCATGTGTGCTGAGAATGCAGCAGTGTCAGGATTCACTGTAATGAAACAGACCACACTGCCCCCTTTCTACCTCTCTTTTCATCACTCCTGCTAATTCCACCTTTTTTTTACCTCTTTTTTCATTTCTACCTCAAATTCCTTATTACGATAAACTTGGATTTGGACATGTGACAAGCCTGCTGGTTCCGTATCGTCAATCAGATTTTATTATGGGGTGTGTACTTACGAGTGTGTGTTTCTATATAAGCGTATATTAGTGATTTTTATCCCAATCTAATAACATAAGCTGGCCACATTATCCTTTAGTGGAGAGGAGTGTTGCAGTCTGCAGTATCAGTGCTGCTCATCTATCCACTCCTGTTATTCTGGCAGCGCTAACGTAGCTAACGTGTATTCGCTGTCCTCTGTGGCTGCACAGATGGGAGACATTCAACGGTATGTAGCTACATAAGTCCAGACCTAATCCCCATATCCTGTCTCTGAGTGAGCCCTCTCTAATATGAGCAAACAGAGATGACAGCACAGATAGACAAATAGCTAACAACATGTGTGTGTGTGTGTGTGTGTGTGTGTGTGTGTGTGTGTGTGTGTGTGTGTGTGTGTGTGTGTGTGTGTGTGTGTGTGTGTGTGTGTGTGTGTGTGTGATTGATTTCAGTGTCACTTCTTAAATTTAACTGTGATTCTTGGTTTGAAACTGTTTGAAACCCTCTCAAATCTGAAAGCTGAGTTTCTGTTAGTGCGCTAGTTATTGGCTTGTATTGGTTCAACAGGGATCTGTCTCAGTAGATCCTCGACTCCAATTGGCTCAATGAGGTTGTGCATGTCCTGCTGTTGATTAATCCAGTTTTTGTTTACCCCCTGGCTGCCTAGACCCCCTCTAATGAAATAAGAATGTAATTTTAGAGTCAAGGAGGAGAAAAGGAAGAATAACATGGGGGCAAAGAGTGAAGCAGACTTGGGAAAAGAGATTTATTGGAACCCTTATGCTTTTGTCCCACCCTGGAGTTATTTGTACCGTATAAAGCAAAAAGCAGCCAAGTGGCCTTCCAAGCAAGGACAGAAATATGTTTGTGTACACGTGGGTGCATGCACAAATGCATGTGTGTGCAAGCACGAGAGAGTAAGCTCTTGTTCAGGTTAAAACAAGTCAAAAATGATTGTCATTTGTCAATGCAGTCTTTGCCAAATACAGTCCTTGCATGGCTGTATTGTGTGTGTGTGTGTGTATGTGTGTGTGTGTGTGTGTGTATATATATATATATATATATATATATATATATGTATGTATATATATATATATATATATAACACTATTAAACACACACATATATATATATATAACACTATTAAACACACACATATATATATATATATATAACACTATTAAAAAGAAAACATCTAGTAAAAAAAAATATTGCAGAAAATTTCTAATCCCATTCATCATTCCAAAGTACAGATAATTTCATGTGTCACTGAAATGTTTGTTTTTATTTTTGATTTGATGCTTTCGGATTGTTCCAGGCTTCTTACGACCAAAGCTGATCTCAAAACAAAACCCATAAATCAAATTGTCAGAAAAAAAGGTGGAAGCAAGCAAAAAACTAAAATGCATTTCTGAATTTATGATCTTGTGTAATTGTGTCTGTGAAACCCACAGGCATACTCAGTCATGTTTTGATCACTTTCTAAAACGTTTTATTGAGAATAATTAATTTCGTGAGGACATAAATAAAGCGTAGTTTCTCAAGTCCTTGTCCTAACCGTAAAGCAAATGTAGCTACAAATCAAGAGTTCCTCCCCAAAAAACCGACAAGAGTATTTAAACATTGTCATCTATTAGGAATGTACATAGTTAACTGGTTAACCTGTCATAACTGGTTATAACAGTGTTGCCCAGTTAATTGCTGCTATTGCAACACTCTGGCTAGAATTCCAGCTTTAAGTGTGATTAGTGGTAAAACACTGGAGGACATAGTAAAGAACTTAAACCCATCTACCTGCTGTCTGGACACCCTGCTAACTAACTTCTTTAAAAATGTATTTAGTTGCTTGCTTAGGCTCATAAACTGGGTGGGACTATAAGGCACAGTCCATAGTTGGTTCCGATCATGTCTCAAAGACAGGGATTATGTTGTTTCTATCGGTGATCACAAATCAAAGCAGATGATTATGACATGTGGAGTACCCCAAGGCAATTCTTGGACCACAGCTATTCAATCTCTACATGCTCCCACTGGGTCAGGTCATATACAATAACAACATTGTCTGTCATAGTTATGCAGATGACACTGAGATCTACCTAGCTCTATCACCTAGTGACTGTGGTCCCCTAGACTCACTCTGCCAGTGTTTGGAGCTGTCACGTTCTGCCCCTGCCTTCCTGACTGTGTCTCTCTCCTGCCCTGATTAGCCCTTATTGTTCTCACCTGCCCCTCGTTAACCTGCCCATGTGTTCCTGATTTCCCTGTATATTTACACCTCCCTCCTTGTGCCAGTCTTTGTCAGATCATTGTTGTTTGTCGTGTTGTTCTCGTTTCTGCCGTATCCTGTCATTAAACCCATTTTTACTTTATCCGTGCCTGCATTCCTGCCTCCTGGTCAGCTCCACCACACATGGTCCACCAACTCCTACAGTTCAATGTGACAGAATGATCTGACCAACCTGGATCTGCGGTGAGCTCTGCAACATCTGCCTGGAGGATTTTTTTGCTTTTTCTCTTTTTCAGCGGAGGGAGATTCCGGCCTGGAGTTTTGTGTTTTCGGCGCATCCTACCTGTTCTCGGGGTGGTCGAGCCCTCTGGGTGATCCTGGCGCATCCTATCCATTTTCGGGGTAGTCTGGGTCATTTCTCCTCTCCTGCTGTTCTGTCCCGTCCTGTTTTTTACGGAAGCTGCTGTATCCTGGAGTTTTGTTGGAGGTGAAACCCCCTGCACATGCCAGTGTTCTTCGGAGTGGTAGGGCTGGTCTTCCTGCTCCATGTCTGCTTCCCTTCGCCCGAGCCTCTGCCTGTGATCCGGCGAATCGGGATGGGCACCTGCTCCGACTGTATGTCGAGTACCTGCCGCCAAGCTGGTTTCCTCGCGTCGCTCCTGCTGTTTCGTCCCACTTCCTGGTCCACAACTGCAGGGTCTATGCCTGCAGGTCCTTCATGCTGCGGTCTTTGCTGGGTCCCACGCCTGCTGCTGCAGTCCTCTGCTGGGTCCCACGCCTGCTGCTGCAGTCCTCTGCTGGGCCCCACGCCTGCTGCTGCAGTTCTCTGCTGGGTCCCACGCCTTCTGCTGCAGTTTTCCAGTTCCTGTGTGTACGAGTCAAGAGTTCCTGTGTGTCCCGAGTCAAGAGTTCCTGTGTGTCCCAAGTCAAGAGTTCCTATGTGTCCCGAGTCAAGAGTTCCTGTGTGTCCCGAGTCAGGAGTTCCTGTGTGTCCCAAGTCAGGAGTTCCTGTGTGTCCCGAGTCAGGAGTTCCTGTGTGTCCCGAGTCAAGAGTTCCTGTGTGTCCCGAGTCAAGAGTTCGAGTCCGTCCCGAGTCAAGAGTTTGAGTCCGTCCCGAGTCAAGAGTTTGAGTCCGTCCCGAGTCAAGAGTTCGAGTCCATCCCGAGTCAAGAGTTCGAGTCTGTCCCAAGTCAAGAGTTCGAGTCTGTCCCAAGTCAAGAGTTTGAGTCCGAGTTTCCTGGTCCAAGCTCAAGAGACCCGCTGTAATTCAGAGTTGTGCCGCCGGACCGAGAGGCCCCTGCTCTGCAACCCTGGTCTGAGCTCTAGGAGACTTAGTAAGTTGTAGTTGTGCCGCCTACTCAAGAGGCCCCTGCTC